AGTTTTATAAAGACAACAGACTATAAAAAGGTTTAGATACCAATCATAGATGCCAGGACCAGTGCTGAAGTGAAAGGAAATACCTTAAAAAATTTTTGAAAAAAATAATTATTTTTAGAGGGTGCTTATTTACAGTCTAAAACGTATTTTAGGAATTTTTTCATTAAATTCCTCTTTAAACTACATTAAATAATACAATTTTGTACAAATAATTGAATGTTATGCTACTATTACATGTTGTCTGAAATCCAATAAAAGATAAGTTCTCTATCATTTTTTCAATTCACAAATGTGATTTTGCCCTCACAATAAGACAAAATGGCCACGGCAAGTAACGGTTTAATAATTGTGCCTTTCTTGGTAGCTTTGAGGTGATGGGAGTTGAAATTAAGGAAGAGGGTTTTTGTAATTGGTAGATTATATATTATTGTCATTGTCAATCCTTAAGGTAACATCAAGAAAACCTGTGCTCCTCTTGTCATTCGAGTGATTCAGGGTAAATTGAATGTTGGAGTCTGTAGAATTTAGAAGGTCTAAACATTTGATTAAAGAAGGAAAAGTGTGATTCCATAGACCACACTCATCAGCGATATATCTAAGCCAGAAATCACGGCTGGTGTTGGTATCTTGATGCCATTTGTCAAGTGTCATTGTTTCAAAAATGTGCATAAATATTGCATCATAAATAACAGCTACTCTATTACCCATTGAGACACCACTTAGTTGGAGTTAATTTGTTGTCAGGATGAACATATCCATTGTGAAGGATTTCTCTGACAGTGTCTGTTGTCAATATGTACATCTCCAAATTTTTTATGTAATTTGACATGAATTTTCACACTGCATTTACATATCTTCTCTCTGTATACAAGGGTAAAGAGCTACAACATCCGATGTAAAGAGTATTGCTGTGGTCATCACTGTGTGAGGCACATCTTTAATTCATGATAGTGGGTCTTATTTATTATCTAAATGTGCCGGAACATAATTTAGTAATCACAATTATATGAATAAGCCAAGACAGACTTTCAGTAGCACTGCCATTATGCTGAGATTATGGGTCTTAGTGGCATATCCGGTTTAAGTTGTTTTGATAAACCGTATAATTCTGGGATGTGGCTGTTAGAAGGTTTGAGTTCATCTAATAACTTCATAGGAAGGTTAACTGTTTTTGTAAGTTTGTAGATAATTTCTTTGGTTTTTGTTTCAATTTTTTGGTAGGGTCACTGTTAAGTATTTGAAAATTATTCTCATCTTTAAGGTGATCATAAAGGTTTTGTTCATAAACGCTTCTGCTCATAACTACAAAACCATTACATTTATCCAATTCTTTGATGATGGTGTTATTATCTTTTTTAAGGGCTAGTTGTTCTTGATGATTTAAGTTAAACTTGACTTGATGATTTCTATGTCTTTGTAAAATGTTCCTGATCTTTTTCCTCACACCCGCGAGTTACGATTCAATATCTTTTTATCGTGGGGAGATTGTTGTTTGTTGGTGTCAAAAGGGTGTTTATTGAAACATATGAAAGCTGCATAGTTTGTTGTATGTGTAGTTTAACAAATTTCAGAAATGGAATTAATGTCTGAATCAGTGTTATCAGTTTCAATAGTTGGTTGTAGTAGAGACTAAGTTTACAGTATTTTGCTGGGTTTTAATCATTTCTCTATTTTTCATACAAATAATTCCATCGAATTGAATAAAAAGTTTGTTCAAGGGAAACATATTTAAACACACTTGGTTTGAAAGTCTAGTTGTTACTACAAAACCAGGTACTTTAATTAGTAGATTCAAAGAGGAAGTTGAGATTGGGAAGTCATTTTCTGTGGTTACTTTTATAACTGTTGTCATGTTTTCTTCATTGTTATTAGTATTTTTAACGAAAGTCTCTGATTTGGTAGTTTGTTCATCATATGTACTTCTACATTTCTTCTAAAGTCTTGTGACATTCTTTCTTTTCTTTAAATGTGATGTCTGATTTAATGTTCATGAACCCGAGTGTAAAAACTGGGATACCTTTCTTGGGAGATATTTAAAACTATTTGGTTTAGTTGGATTAGTCTTAGATGTTTTTCTTTGCAAACAATATTGTTATTAAGTCATTCATAATGGAAGAGAGAAATCTAACCAACCTTTCCTGTGATTTCTGATTCTCCCTGAAAATATCTAGCAATTTCAAATGGTTCTGTATACTTTTAGGGACATCCTTATAGTGGCAATATTTAATCAAGAAACCAATTTGAGCTGTTGTTCTTGTGAGTTTGAGAGAGTGAGTAAGGGTTAGCAAGGCTGCATTATGGATGATGTAAGAGAAATCTAACCAACCTTTCCTGTGATTTCTGATTCTCCCTGAAAATATCTAGCAATTTGAAATGGTTCTGGGTACCTTTAGGGACATCCTTATAGTGGCAATATTTAATCAAGAAACCAATTTGAGCTGTTGTTCTTGTGAGTTTGAGAGAGTGAGTAAGGGTTAGCAAGGCTGCACTATGGATGATGTGATCAACATTTGAAAACTCGTTATTTAATTTCTGTAGTGCATATTGGTGTATAAAGACATTTTAATACTAGAAATAAATGACCTATACACCAGTATGCACTACAGAAATTAAATCAATATCATCTAAAATGAAAAGTTGACAAATATGAAACAGATTTAAATTACCTTTTTTATCTTTTTAAAATGACTGAATATTGCAGTAGACAGTTACTATTTATTCTTACAGCCATAGCTAATAAGTCTTCTCAAATCTGGGTTCATTTAGTTTTATTGCTGTACAAAAAGCCATTTATCACTGTTGAAAGTTTTGTGTAAACAAATAATCAACTTCCAAGCATGACACAAATGAATTACAAACATACTTTTCTCAAATAGCATGCTGGGATATTTAATGCCACAAGGATTTGTTTCTTTTTTCCATTCAGATTTTTTTATCTAATGTACTAAGCTTCTATATTTGACGTTTTAGTTACTATCATAACGATAAATAAAAATATATTTAAAAAAAACTAGTAATTTAGTACTTGCATCTGGACTTCAAACATTTTTGCAATCAAGGACAAGGCACTGTAGGCCTGTAGTTGTGTAATGATGTTGGTGATCTAAATTATTTTGGATGTTTATTTCAAGTATGTAACTAACTTAGAAAATAGAACATTATCATGCACAAAATAGAGATTGTTCTAAAAATAGTATAATTTACCTTGCTTTCATCTAAGCTGCAAATAAGTTTAAAAAGTCTGTTAGTTGCTGTCTAGATATGCACAGATAATTAACTTTAGCTGATTCTTTCAGAGCAATGAAACATTCTTTTTATTGGTTATAAACATGTTTATAAAAGGACACATTGTACAGATAAATTTGTTCAAAGCTATGACAAGATGGGAGGATCCTCAATGAGGGGTATTGCAAATTTACTTATATATCACTAATTTGAGAAGGTGGGCTGTTTAATTTTTATATTTTGATCTCTTATTATCTTTAGCTTACATTTCTGATTGGTTGTTCTCTGAAAGTGTTAAAAGGGAATGGATATAATCTAAAATAAGAGAATAGGAAAAGAGATGATTCACATGACACACAGAAGTCAAGATTAAGAATTTTAAATATTTCCTTTTGAAATTAAGATATTAAAACTTTGATAATATAAAATTTTGAATTATAAGCTATGTTTTTATGCCAAGTTTATTAACATGCATTTGAATGAAACTGTGAAAAGGGTTGTAAAATGTGCATATTGACTCGTGTTGTACACATAGGATTGAAATAAATCCTAATTAGTTGTTCATCACTGTTAAACTGAAAATATTTTTTATGTGAAATTATTTTAGCTTTTTTAAAATTGGATGTATTTGTTACAAAAAAAGTATAGAACTACCTTTTCAATACTGATTGTTACTAAAATAATAAGTTTAGTGTATTTATATGGTACCATTCATTTAGAATGTCTAAGTTATAAAGAAAATTACTTCAAATTTTTCTTTCCAGAAAAAGTGGTAGCTTTGTACCCTTTTACACAGCAACATGAGGATGAACTAACATTCCAAAAAGGTCAAGTAATAATTGTTATTAACAAAGATGACCCATCTTGGTGGAGAGGTGAAATGAATGGAAAGGTTGGATTATTTCCTTCAAATTATGTGGAACCTATTGCAAAACCAAGCTCAGTGACACCAACACCAGGACAATGTAAGTATCTAACTGTATACATTTTTGTAACTAAGGCTTTTTAAATACATTGGGGATCCATATTACAATACCACATTATAATGCAGAACTACAAATAGACTCATAAACAGGTAAACCATCTGATCTAAAGTAAAAACAACAACAACAGATGTCTGGTAACAAAATGAAGACAATAAATTCAACTAAATTTTAATTCAGTGGGAAATGATGTGGATGGATCATCTGCAGACCATTGTTCTCTTCTTATAGTAACTTGTGAAATGCTATGCCAGTTCTTGAATCTTGCTAACCATCCTTTGCTGGCTTCAAACTGTACTGGGATGCAGGTATTTTACTTCCTTTGCTGGCATAATGTTTCAGCTTGAGCTTTGATAACAGTACTGGATACAGGTACGCTTTCACTTCTCAGCTGGATGAACCATGTATTTATGACTTTATAAAGAAGTATATTGTCAGAATTTTGGGCTTTTTTTCTTTCTTGGACACCATCATCCATCTCAATTGACACCTTTCTCAACTTCTCTTCATCTTTAAGTCACCTACAAAACATTAATTCAATGATCCCCATTATTTTCAAAACGAATGTTTGAGTACTGCCTTCCTTGATCTGGTTGGTGATTTTCAGCTTCTTGACAATGGTACATGACTTGTTTTTCATGATTCAGTAGACTCTATTTTGTGTTGATTGTTGTATGGTATTAGAACAAGTACGGGTGTCCCTATCCTAAATTTGACCCATACTTATACAGAGAAAAACAGCATTCAATTGTGATGGGGAAATTCTATTGGATAAGTCCCTTAATTAGTCGCAAGGTTGCCATTTCATTAGCTGATTCTAAATCTAGATGTTTTATTATTAAAATAGACATAACTGAACATCCATCAGTTAATAAAGAACATAGTTTTGTGAATATTAAATATTATATATATTTAAATTCAGATTTTCATATAAAGTGTGACCTGGATTGAAAAAGTTTGACATTAAAATTTCATTTTATTTAATTGCTTATTGGGTGGCAATGAGTATCATGTGGTGGAAGTTTGTCATTTGTGGAGCATTTATACTTCAACAATGTTTAACATATCATGAAAAATACTGTAAATACATTCTGAAAGACAGACTCATGTTATAGTGAGTTCAGCACCATAGCAGATAGTGTTATAATGGGTCCCCAGTGTATGATGTTTATAGAAATACTGGAAATACATTCTGAAAGACAGACTCATGTTATAGTGAGTTCCGCACCATAGCAGATAGTGTTATAATGGGTCCCCAGTGTATGATGTTTATAGAAATACTGCAGGTTTAATGGTAACACAAATACCTGACAGGAGAAATGGGATTGTATAAGAATATGAAGTGTTTGAAAATGTTAATAAAATTAGAGTATTTTTAATACGTCATTTTTAACTGATTTAAACCTTGGTATAAGCCCCTAACAAATGCACTGATAGTAGCACAAGCACACTAAAGTGGGATCTACTCAGTTCATACAACCAGTGGATGTTTGACTGGCAAATGCATGCTATGATAGATCTGGATTTTTATTGTAATTTGTAACTGTGTTTCAGATTTATTAGCAACCAATATATACAAAAAAGAAAGCTTCAGTATATAATTTTTTCATAATATATCTTAGAAAGACATATTATTTCTATTTCTCAATAAACTCTCTCTTTTTCTTTTTTTTTTTGTTCTCTATGACATTTTGAGCAATGGTCAACAGCTGTGATGGCATTTAGCATTATGTTGGGAATTCTTTTAACTACAAATGAATTTGTGAAAAATGTATATGTTGACGGTAGTCTTGATTTTATTTTTTAAAAGTAATTGATCTACAAATCAAGAATGCCCCATTTATATCTGAACTGATGACGATGTTTACTAATGTTTACCTGTGCCAGATAAAGTGTTAAGAACTTTGTTGGTGAAAAATTCATAAGATCAGCAACATAAATACCTAATGTCGTATTTAGGGTGTTTAAGATCTTACAAAGACAGACACCAGTTTTGACAAAAGTTATCATAGGTCATGAATTTAAAGCTAGTGTCACCAGTATTTATAAACTTAAAAAGAGTGCTGTATATGGTAAAAATATTATTAAAGGAAATCGAAAGTATAATATTACTGTAACATCAAATGTAAATTTGACCTGAAAACAACTTGAAAGACAATGATACTGTAATTAGTTAAGTCAATAAACTTAAATTTTCAGCAAAATCATTTTCAATATATATATATATATATTGTAAAGATGCTAATATAAATTTATAGAACTCGGGCAACTTAAAATCGAAGTGAGAGTAATTGAACCATCTTATTAATCTTTATCAAAGAATAATGAACCCACGCACAAAATATAAAAAATATACTTGAGACCATAAGAAAAAGACCTAGAACTTCTTTACACATTCAGCATCATTACTAGTTCATTAAACCATATTTGACATGTCAAAATTCAAAAGCCTAGGGAGAACTAGTGGACAAACAAACATACTCACAAACTTCTCTTAAATTATAGTATGATAGCCAATATTGAATTGCAGGCAGTGTTCCAATCTGTGCACTTAGTAGTACATCACGTGTCTTTGCATACATTTCATACTGCTTCATTCTTCTTTGCTTTTGTCAAAAACAAATTGTTTCCCCGTGCGTTGTGTATATCTTGCTTGTGACTGTATTTCACCCTTGTTCAACTTTATAACTACAGTAACAATACACCTAGGTGACTGGAAAAGGGAGTTAAGCAGTTAGCAGAGGAGCAAAAAGAGACCATAAATCAATTTTCATTAGATAGGAAATTAGATGTATTAAGAAGGTTTGAAGCAGGCGAAAATTTAGCCAAATTTCAGAAGTGTTAGGACTTGCTATGTCTACAGTGGTAACAATACATGATAATAAAGGCAAAAAAGCCAATTCTCAAGCTGCTACACCTTTAAGTGCTACACAACTGACTTGCTGCAGAAGTGATGTAATGGAAAACATGAAAAGACTGTTAAATATCTGGATCGAAGACCAGAATCAGCATAACAGGCCAATAAACATTACGATCATTCAGGAGAAGGCAAAAAGTTTGTATGAGGATTTAAAGAGTGAAGAAAGTACAAGCTGAAATTACAATTTTTAGTACTAGTAAAAGATGGTTTTGGAGATTTAAAAGACATTATGGTTTGTATAATATTAAAATGAGTGGTGAATTTGCTTGTGCTGAAAAAAATAATTGAGGAAGACAGGTGCACACTACAACAAGTGTTTAATCTTGACAGGACTCTATTGAAAATGTATGCCAAATAGAACATTCATTTCTACAAAAAAGAAGTTGGCACCAGGTATTAAGGCTGCCAAAAATCATTCAATACTTTTTCTGGAAAGCAATGGAGAGGGTGATTTAAAATTCAAGCCCTTATTGGTATATCTAAAAATCCCAGGGCTATGAAGGACAACCCTAAGCCAAACTTATCTGTGATTTGGCATTCAGGAAGGCTTGGGTGACTTTGGAAATTTTTCACAAGTGGTTCACAAATCTTTTTTGCCCTACTGTGGAATGGTGCTGTGCCCAAAAGATCCTCACTAACAGGGCATTGCTCATCTTAAATAATACCTAAGGCCACCCAGTAAATTATAGTGATCTGTCTGATAATGTGAGGGTAGCGTCTCTCCCTTAAAATACAACAGCATTGATCCAGCAAATGGATCAAGGTGTTGTAGCCACCTTTAAGATGTATTACCTGAGGAAAACTCATAAAAGAAACTCATGGAAAGAGAAGCCTACACTTAGACAGTTTTGACAAACCTATAACATTAAGAACTTCTCTAAGTTGTGAGAGGAAATTATGGCCTGAGTGTATCCACGATTTTGCTGGTTTTACCCAATCTGAAACTATTCCAGAAATTTGTGATAACATCATGGCTCTTGCAAATGACATGGGCTTTTAATACATTATGGAAGCAGATGTGGTGGAGTTGCTACAGTTTCACAGAGAAAAACCTTAAAAATAAGGAACAATACCGAGATACAAAAGAGGATGTGGAGAGTGAAGAAGCTCCACCTATCCCATATCACTTGAATGCAAAGGAGTTGTCTGAAGCTGTTTCATATTTTGAAGCAAGTTTGTAAATTCTTATTGGTTATGACCAAACTGTGAATATGGCCTTAAAGTTTCCAGAAGAGTAAACAATGATAGTCACTGCTACAGAGATCTGTATAAAGAAAAAAAAAGGCATTCAAAGCAGCTATCTTTGGATATATTTCTTGGAAAAAATCCTTACAATAGCAAAATACCCAAGGTGAAGAGTGCTGCTTTATTGACAAAATTACCTGCAGCTGAAAAGCATGATTCGGAGAGTGATGCAGATGAATCTCCCAGTTACTCCCTCACTTCTCCCTACAAAACTGCTTCATACAAGGATAACCACAATCCCTGATAGCTGTTAGAAATGTTATTATGTATCATTATTTTTATTTCTATGACTTACTTTTATTAATATTTTATCATAAAATTATTGAATTTATATTAATTATGCATTTAAAACATTTTCTACATTCTTTTATTATGTCTTTATGCCAATATTTGTTTTCTATAGGAAAATGGGTTTTGCCGTATGTAAAATTTTTCAAGAATGAATCTATTCGAAATATTGAGGGATGGATATAGTGACATTTGATAATGAAACACAAAAATATAATGTACATTTAACCACTTAGAATGCCATAGGTCATTTGTATGAGAGTTTTATTAATATAAATCAATAAAGTGATTATTTTCCAGTGTATGCAAAATATTTCTAACTGTGCATTCAAAGCAAGGTATTAACTTGTATTACATTACATTTATTTTGATGATCAGGTCTTTGTTAATTTTACTAAGTAATATTTAATTATGTTAAAATATTGGTGCTGCAATACATTCTTGTGTGCCAAAATGAAATACTCGGAGCCATGATAGCAAATTTAAATTTTAACTGACTTAAAACTTGGTCACATTGCATTGCCAATAGACATAGCAGAATCTTCATAATCATACTGGTTTTTCCCGTGTTTTTGTTGATTTTTCCAAGATCATGAAAGTGATGATGAAAGATTTTATACTACTACCTCCACTACTTCATCAATTTTTTACAGAAAACTAACAAAAGGATGCATATACATATGAAGAAAACAAAACTATAGTCATTCATATCTGTGTAATAAACCCAGTCATATAAATGCAATTTCTATTTAAATATGCATTAAAAATAAACACATGAAAAGAAATTAATACACATGCATCACTGATTTTGTATTGAAAAATTGAAGAGGATGACTATTAGTTTATAGAATCAGTGTCACAGTGGAGAATTATTGTGTAATAAGTTATGTGCATACGTACATTAACAATATACATTTGAAAATATTGTTAACAGCAAAGATACCCAACTGATAAAACTGCATTCTAATCTTTGTAAGTAAGAACATAAGAAAAATATATTGAATTAGCTAGGTTCATCACCAAGTTTAGTTTTAGTTTTGATCTAGTAGGTAGCTTTCTCTGATCAGAAATTCATATCAATACACAGTTAGTGATGGATGTGTATTAATTTCTTTTCATGTGTTTATTTTTAGTTTTGATCTAGTAGGTAGCTTTCTCTGATCAGAAACTAATATCAATACACAATCAGTGATGGATGTGTATTAACTTCTTTTCATGTGTTTATTTTTAATTCCTATTCAAATAGAAATTGCATTTATATGATAGGGGTTGTTACACAGATATGGTTGATGTTGTAAATTAATATTAATGCATACTTGTCATCTCCATCCTTGCTCTTTCATAACCCAGCTACATGTGTTATAGAAATGTTTTTGCATGTGTGTTTGATGTAGAATAATTTTGCTTTAGTTGAACTATTGTTATGGTAGGTACTTATCAATGAAAAGGTTATCTTCTACATTGATGTCATATGTTTCGAGACACGTGTTGTTGTAACATCATTTTTATGGTTAATATAGGAAGGAGAGAGAGAAGTGGATAATTAATTGTTCAGCGGGCAGCCCTGGACCCACTACCATACACCAGTTACAGATGCTTGCTTCAGTGATCACAGCTGCTGTGGTCTATTTGTCTATTATTTCTGTGTTACTGAGAGTTGGCTGTACAATTCTAGTGTAGCTCTTAGTATTTCATGATGTATGTTAGTTATACCTATGCTGTGTTATTTCATTGTTTATATATATATATATGGAATAGTTACTTTTTGTTGTGTGCTAAAACACAAGAAGCAGAGATGTTTCATAATTTTGTGTGATTGAACTTAGAATATCTAATATGCATTCTGTGTTTGCAAAATTGTATCAAGTTATATTGAATCATTTTATGTAGCTTAAGACTTCTCTTGAGAAAAATTATTCAGCTGTGTACCTTTTTTTTTTGTATATTCCTTTCCTGTAGAAAGTGTTACAAATGAACCAACCATTCTTTTGTCTTGCCAAACTATATACCTGTCTGTATAATGGTAGGATACTAAACAGGTGTTTTCATATAGTACTTCAATATAAGTCTGTTTTTGTAGTTTATTCTGTGTATTATGTTCAATCCATCATTAATGTGTAACATTATTCTCATCTGGTTTAGTGATGTCTGATAAAACTTACTTTAATCATAATGAATAATAGTCATTATAATCTTCTGAAAATTTACAAATAAAATAGATGTGTGTGTGTGTAATAAAGGTAGACATGTTTGTATTACTGTAGAACAATTTATGATGAGTTATTCAGTATTATTAAATAAAATCAGCAAAGGTGGTTTGTTCAAAGACACTTTTCTTCACATTTTTCTTTTAGAAGCAATGTATGTTTTAAGCTGTGATAGCAAGGACAGAGGAGTTTTAACATGAATCTCAAATGAGAAAATTAGGTTTTCTAAACATCAACTTTACTGATAGTATTTTCGGGTATATCAGTATTGTTAGGCATTACATACTGAGGTTACGCTTCAAGTTGTAGCATATAATATACCAGTAGTATTATGTAATGCATAACATATAATAAGGTAATTGTAATTTCTTTATAGCCACATAGAAAAGCTAAGATTAACTTTGTTGTCTGATATACTTATAAAGGAACACTTCAGTATTCTATACTTCACACTATATTATCCAAACTGTTTATTTCAACACATCAAATTTATTAAGTGTTAAGTGCTGGACACCAAAGAATGAAATATATTTTTATGCTTTCTACCTGTGGCACTTGTCTAAAGTATAATCTGTCTTCTCAAGTTTTATTGGTCTTTCTTATTTTAGTGTGTATCTTTCTAGATATATTAAGTCTTAATTATGTGTGTGTGTGTTAAAGTTCTTTTAATTGGTAATTAAGTTGCAGTACATTTTATTATATTCTAGATTTCTATGAGCTTGTGCCTAAGTTGGTATTATAGAAGTCTACCAGAATTAAAGCTGGTAAGATACTTAATGAATTAGGTGCTTTTTTTAAGTTCCTGAAGTTTATTAGAGTATAATAGAATAGGTAAGATAGCTCTGCTATGCCAGCCTTTGATTTTGCATGCTTCTCTGGTAGTGGGTCAAGGGTAGCCAAGCAGCTGAATGGTATGGTCTGTTTATTTTGTCTTGGTTTTTCTTTAATGTGGTCTAGTTTAAACACTATTACCATTTTTGTGTTTTGGGTTTGTTATATGACTACCCTTGAACCACTACTTGATACACTAAATTGGTTCATCTACAGAATTTTTGCCTGAGGCTTTAGTGTACCTAGTGTTAAGTTATCTTTATTGTGAAATTACTTAGGTACACAGCTAATTTTATCTTATCATTTTTATCAGGTCTGTTGCATCATTAAGTTGTAAATACATATACATAATTCTAGGTTTAATACAACTTTAATGCTAGATGAGTCTTGTTCTGAAGACCTGTATGATATATTCAAATTGTTCTTTAGGCTTATACCAACACATTTCCTGAGATCTATAATATATGTGGCAAATGATTGAATTTCACATATTTTCATTCCTGAGTTTAATATTTGAAAACAAGAAACAACTAATGAAAAGAATATCATATTTATTGTCATTGTTTTATTTTTGTAAGAACCTACTTTATAATCTTTTTTCAGAGCTCTGATTTTAACTGTATAACTTAACCAGTGTATCGTAACATAATTAAAATTTATTTAGTTAATCTCTTGTATTGTAATGTTAAAAGTTAATAAAACACCATGCACTAGTTAAAATGTGTAAATTATCACTAGTTAACTTGTGATGTTCTAAAATTGAGATACCTAAATACCTACTAATCAGATAGAACAGTCATTAGTAAAAATTGTTAGGTACACTTACTCACTGCGCAGAAGTCCTGAAACATTAATTTCACACACAGGTAATATTAAAATTTAAAAAAAATCCTTACTACTATGTAGTTTTGATTTGCTGAAATTTATAGTTACACATTAACACACTACACTAGAACTTTCTGAATGTTGCATTATAATGATATTAGTATTATTAGCTTAATGCAGCTTATAAACAACCTTATAACATCAAATTTATTTTTTTGATTTGACTCTCAACATTTTGCTTTATGATTTATGTTTTAGTGGAATGCTTCTGAAGAAGCTGTAAAGCTAAATGTTGAGAGCCCGATTAAAGAAAAGTAACAAATTTGATAGTGTAAGGTCATTTAATACAGATATTAAAATGTCTTTTATTCACCAATATGCAATACATAAATTTAAAAAAATTTATTATGCTAATATATTTAGACAGCTTGAGCTATCTCATTATATACATTCTTCTGGAATTACATCTCCAAATATTTCTGCTGTCTTTAGATAAAAAAATATCTAACATAATGACACAGAAAATCATTGAAAATTTCATTATTTCTGTTGGAAAGTTACTAGCATTGGAATATAATTATCAGCAGATAAGGTTTTGAAATTACTATGTTTTAATGTTTGTATTTTAATATAATGTATTCAAGATCTAGAATATCTTATGTCTTCAGGAATTTTAAAGAAAACATTAAAAGCATCTATTTTGAATGGCCCCTAGACTTAAATTGTGATGAGTTGTCATTTTAATATGTTTGAGTAAGAACCAAATTAAATGATATGTTTCCTAACCAGTTGGATTATTGTAATAAAAAGCACCAAAGTAGACTTATTATCGCTATACTATTATCACCTTATAGCTGTTGCAAGTTTTAAAGGTAGCCCCCCCATCAACTTTCAACAATGACACATTACAATGAATTGGGCAATTCATAATGGATAATGCCCACAAATGGTTCAAATACCTCACAAAGCCAGTGTAGACACAGTCATACTCAAGAAATAGCTGTTTTAAAGTACAGCTTATTCGGTGAGAAAACACATTAGTGATGAAGCCATGTATTTGGTTAGAAATTATTGGGTAATAGCATTTCTCTAATATTGGTGCTTTATATTGTACTTAAGGCTTGGTTGCATAATTATAAAATATCCATTTTGTAAAACAAGCATTTGTAATTGCATGTCTTAGTACCCAGTGGTTGCATCCTTACATTGAGACATTTGGCCGATGAAGCATTAGATCAGAATATTTTTTAAAAGTCAGTCTGCAACTTTACATTAAGACAAGTGACATATTAAGTCAGGATATTTTTATAACAAGGCTGTATCTTCACAGTCATACAGTTAACTTTTATTTTAATATTCTGTGTGGAAGAAGATAAAGAATAACCTCAGAATTTTATGTTTCCATAAGGAACAATCATTAATATACTATATTAAAACATTTTTAACATGTTGCATAAACACACATTCATAGGCACTGAGTATAAGGGAAATAACTGTTCGTATGTGCTTTTGATTATACTAATATAGTAGGGGATTGAGAAACTGAAGTTGTTGATAGACACATCACATTCTTTCATTCTAAGATAGCCCTGTGTTACCAATAAGAATGAATTGTTATATCTAAATATAGGCATAGCTTTGTCACCTGATACCTCTATTGGTGGTTGCACATAATGGTTGTTAGAGGTCTGAAATGAACAGTTAATGAAATTGTAGAATTATTCAAATAAATGTATAAGAAGATTATGAGTTGTAATTTCTAACCATACACATGTTTTTAGTTATAAGAATTATTATTTTCAAAGCCTCAACTAAAGTTTAAAATAAAATTACATACATCCTAATAAAAAGCTGTTCCTTCAAGCATATTGAACAAGAACTATGCTGCATGTTTTAGAATTATGATAGATAAAATTACTAAAACACAGTTTATGGTATCGGTGACTTAGCTGTTAACAATACTATTATTATTAGTGATGGTAATTATTTGCTGTCTTCTAAAAACTGTTCAGCAACAGTGAATGAATTTAATGCATGCCAGTCACATTCTAGAAACAGCTCTTGTTATCATTAAATAACTGCTGTGTCAGTAATAATTGAGATTTAACTATAATTTCTAGTTTACCTCTCCCCCTTTTAGGAAAATATTTATGGCTGTATGTCAGTTTTTCTCGTGCTGTTTAGAAGTAATATTTTTACAGACAGTTTTTATTTTTTAGCCTTCTATGAAATTTACTTTGTTTGATTTGTTATTAGAAAAGTTAGTACTAAATTTACATAAGATATTTCTTTTTCTTTTTTTTTGCCTCGGTTACAAAATGGTTTCTTATGTGCATGAAATTGAATTGAAAAGATTAAAATATTTTTATGGTTCTTTACTGTTCTAATAACCTAGAGTTGAAGGTTTAATCAATCTTTGCAGATTGGAGAATTTTTGTTGTGTATAAAAATTGATGAAAAAGGATTATATAATAGGACTTATTTTTCTTGCATAATCTGATAAAAAGGAATGCAAATAGATAAAGAAAACATTGTTAGATCAAAAACAAATTTCAGCTGCTTGGAAAAAGAACTACTATAAAATCATTGTCTCTTATTATTGTTATTAGAGATTTTTATCATATTTACTGTTACCTTTATCTTGTGTACATGTGGCTTGTTTCCAGTAAACATCTAACTATAACTGAATGTCTTTGTTGGTGAATTTTTTTTTTCTGTATATGAAAAGTCTAAGTACATCATGGTCCAACATATCTTGAATCAATTTTGTTTCTCATAAATATACTAACATTAACGGAAAAAATTAAAAAATTATAGTTTTTTTACATATACAAAATATCAAAGTTTGGTGTATTCAAAATTGCATTTAGTTATTTCTCAGCAAAATAGTTTTGTTCAACATCTTCCTCTCATTTTACAGAAAATATTTGATACCAAAATTTTATTTAAGTTAATAAATGAATGAATAAATATTGTGTGAAATAAAGAAAAAAAAATATATGAATTTATTGATACATTTACTTATTCATTCTTGTACTTGTATTTTTTTGTTATTTGCTTTTTACATTTCAGTGCTTCAACAACAGCTGTGTCAATCAAGGCTAGTGAATAGTATCATTTCCACCATTGGTTTATCTACGAAGGATTAATAATAGCATCATATGTGAAACAATTATATTTATTGTTATCAATGAATGAATGTGAGAATGCACTCTTTATTTATGGCTTGAAAATTGTTCATGACTCATAGACCTGTGTCACAAATATTCCCAAGATGAAAGATAAAGTTAGATAAATTACTAAAGAAGAAACAATTGATAATATTTTGCACCACCCATTTTCATGGGAGCTAAACAGTAACTATATATATATATTAGTTGTTGTAGGCATAATCTCCATTTTAGTCAGTGTAAGTTAGTCTTTGAATCATCTTAATCTATTCTCCTTGACTCACAGCGGTTAAGATAGCATCATAAAGCTTTTACCTGTAACTCATTTAGACCCTGTCACATTAAATACAAAACATGTTTCATATTTTAAGAGACACTTCACAAGGTAAGTGCCAGTGAGAAATATCGACTCAATCAACGTGCTATTCTTTACTAGTTGGACTCTCTTGATAGATATAAACTTCAGTATATGCCTATGTAGATACCTTTTCTAGTTGCACATTATACAGATGTGATACAAATTTGTATTATTATTATTATTATTTTTTAAATTGATAATTACTTTATCTTATTGTAAATTATAAAACAACAACCAAAACAAAATATTCACACAATAAAATTTCATAAATCATGATACAAAAAAGTCGTATCATACATACATAATATGTAAATGGATGAAAAGGGATATATATATATACAAGTGTGTGTGTGTGTGTGTGTGTGTGTGTTGACTAAAGTTTATGTTTTTATGAGGAGAGAGACACTAGTGGAAAATAGTGTGTTGACTGGGTTGACATTTGTTGGTGGCATTTGTTTTCCATAGTGGTCCTAAAAGTATATAAAGTTTTTTGTTGTTAGGGTGACAGGATCTAAGTGAGCTACAGGTAACAGTATAAATGAGAAACTTATCTACAGCCACAGAATGTTTGACATTATATTTAAAGATTTATTAAAGTGTTACAAAGCTAGCCTACTTGTTGTAAGTCAGAGAGGGTGGTTTGAAATTATCAAAAAATTAACTTACACTAACTGAAGTGGAGATTACTCCTAAACTAACTAATTTTCATATAGGCTGAAGTTAGAATAAAGTTGTTTGAACTGAAAGTAAATGGTATTTTTTCACTACAATTTAAAATTGACTTCACCGAAGTTTACGTGCTAACATTAGACTTGTTTAAGCAAATAATTCACTAAATAAAAAAGGTATATACAAAGGTAGCCTCATGTTCACTTCAATGCCACTTATTTACCCGATGTTGTTCTTTATGGTAAATTTGAAAAAACAGCTTCATTGTAACACTACAATATAATATTCAGATGTATTTTTTAGGATATCTTTGGCAAATCTGTGACACATATCTATGAGTCGTGCACAGTTTTCAAGCCACAAATAAAGATTGCACTCTTAAAATAAACATAATTTAATGCATGCTGTCATTATTAAATTATCATATCCTTCCATTCAATCACAGTTTATTGCCAGTTCTTGTTGGATTAACCAGTGATGGAAATGGTCCTGTCTACTATTTTGGATTAACACAGCTGTGTTTGAGGAAATGAAATCTTAAAAAGGCAAACAAGAAATGTTGAAATAATTAATTGGTGAATAAATGTAGAAATACATGTATGCATATCAATGTATTTTTAGTTATTTCTGCCAATTTTTTATGTATTTATTCATTCATTATTAATTTATTTTATTTTAAACATAAAATATCCTCCATATCATAACACCTTTTTACAGTTAAATATTAGCTCGAAAGTATTTTTATGTTCTATATGGGAAGAAGAAGAACATAAATGAAGAGCTTTAAAACATAACTCAATTTTAAGGTATTGCCAAAAATCATAAAGGAGGTTGATGAGCTTACATCATAAACAACAGAAAAATGTGAAGGCTGAGATGGGAAAAATAATATAATTCAAGTAAATTATATCATTAATGTCAGATAATCCAAAATATGGATACACTAAATAATGACCAAATAGAACTGACCATACACATTCTGTAAGGTGTTTGATTCATAGAATTCAAACATAATGATTCACTTACACACACACACACCCCTCCCCCAAATAAGATACTTTACACTTTAACATGAGCTTATGACATCACTAATATGAAGCATTCTAATTTAATATGAACTGATAATTTTAGCAGTATTAAGATATAAAAACAGAATATGAAATCAGTTATAGCCAAAAATAAGACAACTCTAACTTAAACTCAAGCTGATAACATCATGACTGAGACAAAAAAGGGGTGGTTAAGGGAAAACAGAGGCTTTGTAATGTCAGTAATTGTGGGTCTTAAAAAACCAAAATAGAAACATATCACTTAGGGCCAAGTGTAAGAAACTTAAATTGATAATGGTTGTAATATTAAATGATTAAAAAATAATTCAGAAACATATAATTTACTTTATAATTTAAGCTAATTTTATTAGCAGTGATAACCCTCCAGTAACAGGAGTATTTACCACTAAAGGACTTTTTAAAACTTCGCTTAACATGTATAATACTAGATTATCAGCAGTAAAAAATGTTTGGTTTGTACATTATTCTTTGTGCTTATGAGAATAGTATTAATATAGCAAAAATTTTAAATTCTTTAACTTGTACAAAACTTCACTGGTTTTGTTGATTTTTTTCATTAGGGACAGTAAAAGCAAACATCATAATCCATGTTGTATCATTGATTTATATGTACATAAATTTATAAAAATAATAGAAATGAGAAACTAAGAACTGTACAGTAGATTAAACTAAATGTTTTTTTTTTGGTGTTAATTGAACTCAGATAATTGAATGTTGTACAGAATAAAAAAAATATTGTAAAAAAGTTGTTTAAATAATACCTCCTGTTTAACCATCAACAGAGTACAGATCAGATTATCTATCTTCACTGCCTTGTATTATATTTGATTATAAATTCATCTCCCCTTCTTATTTTAAAAGATTTTAGCGTGATACTTCATTCAATTTAGGTTTTATATGTCTGACTGTCTTTATACATGTAGTTTACAAAATTAGGTAAGATTTTCAGTTGTGTATTAGTTGGAGAGTGGGACTATTCGCATCACCAACATGCTTCTGCCTTACAACATGTATCTTTATTTTTTATTAGCCTCTACATTACCCCAATATATTATTTAACCATCACCAAATGACAAAACCTGCATAGCTTTTACCCTACTTCTCGTATATTGTTTTGATTAGCTTCTAACTAACTAGCTGTATTATATTTAGCTTACACAAGTTCTGAAATAGCTAATCTGATTAACTTCTACTTGTTCTCCTTTCTTATTTAACCATCACCAGCTCTTTTATCAGCTAACCAATTAGCTTCCATGTTACCACTTTTATCATATCTAACCATCATCATCTCTGATATCAGTTAACCTAAACAACTTCCTCATTACCATCTGTATCTTACTTAACAACTACCAAATCTGCGTTAGCTAAAATAACTAGCTTTAGATCTGTTAATGGTATCATATTTATCCATCATCATCTCTGATATCAGTTAACCTAATTAGCTTCCACATTACCACTTGTATCATATTTAACCATCAGTAGCTCTGATATCAGTTAACCTCAATAGCTTCCACATTACAACTTGTATCATATTTAACCATCAGTAGCTCTGATATCAGTTAACCTCAATAGCTTCCACATTACCACTTGTATTATATTTAACCATCAGTAGCTCTGATATCAGTTAACTTAAATAGCTTCCACATTACCACTTGTATCATATATAACCATCAGTAGCTCTGATATCAGTTAATCTCAATAGCTTCTACATTACCACCTGTATTATATATAACCATCAGTAGCTCTGATATCAGTTAACCTCAATAGCTTCCACATTACCACTTGTATCATATATAACCATCAGTAGCTCTGATATCAGTTAATCTCAATAGCTTCTACATTACCACCTGTATTATATATAACCATCAGTAGCTCTGATATCAGTTAACCTCAATAGCTTCCACATTACAACTTGTATCATATTTAACCATCAGTAGCTCTGATATCAGTTAACCTCAATAGCTTCCACATTACCACTTGTACCTTATTTAACTCTCACCACTTCTGGGATGTATCATCCACAACTGAGATAATGCAAGAATTTATAGAATCTTCATCAATTCATGAAATATGTTGTGAACAGTTCCATCTCCAACTAATTTACATTTACAGTTTTTTACCCAATCTTGAAAGCTACAAAGTTAAGACAGCCAAACATAAAAATTTAAGCTTAAAGAATAATCATGCTAAGAATCTGTTAATAAGGTTCTATTTGGAGACAAATCTAGTGCATGTTTATAATAAAAAGAAGTGAGCTAATGATATTATAATATGGAAGTAAATTAGGTTAGCTGATCTGAGAACTGGTGATGGTTAAATATGATACAGGTAGTAAAAGAGAAGACATGTTAACAATTAGTACAGTGAATAAACCTTAACTTTCTAAAATTTTAAAAGATAAAGCAAATTGTTGGATCAAAA